ATAAATTTTAAGTAATTTAAAATTTAAAACTGAAGCAGTGTGAAATATTCCATTAAACACAACTTAATGTTTGCGTAGGACTACATTTTATTTTATTGGAAAATTAAGTGTCTGAATTAAGATGTGCTATAAAGTGAAATACACACCAGATTTCAGACAGTAAGAAAAACGGATTGTAAATACCTCATTATGTATTTTTATACTGATTACATATTGAAGTGATAATATTTTGTTTATATTGGGTTAAATAGAGTATAAATTTTTAAAATTAATTTCACCTGTTTCTACTGTTTAACTGTGAAAATTGAAAATTACATTGATGACTCACGTTGTATTTCTATTGGACAGTACTACTCTAGGAGTCCCATGTGGCTTGTTTCTTCACTACAATTTGCTATAATGACATAATTATAACAGTGACATAATTGTCTCCGATACTTTCCTCAACCACCCTAGTTAAATTGTACCCCCTTTCTCTTTGCCCACTTTAGTTTTCTTCTTAGCACTTACCACTATCTAACCTATTACATGTTTTACCTGTTACTTTTATTTACTGTTGATCTTTCCCACTAGAATGTCAGCTTGCCAAGAATAAGAATTTTAGCCTATTGTTTGGCTCAAATAAACTCTTATAAAAATTATTAAAAAAGAATTTTAGCATGTGTTATTCACTGTCATCCTTGCCCTGTTCTTTGACCTGGCTTATAGCAGACACTCAGTCAATAGTAAATGAATGAATGAATGAATGACAGATTTGCTTCATTACCCAGTCTGTAGGAGTCAATATTGCCAAGATTCTGCCCACCCTATTTGTGGTGACTCCAGGGAAACTGCCTCCTCCTTGGTTAGGGACGGAAACTTGGCCTGGCATTTGAAACAGGACCGACAGGTCTGCATCCTGACTTGTCCCTGAACCTGGAGTCTCCCAGAATCTGCTGCTTCCCTGCCCGCTCCCTCAGTGTCCATTCCCCACTTCCAGTGGCAGCTCTCTGATTTTTTCTGGAGACCCACTCCTCCCCCAATTTTAGTACACATGGTTCAGGCAAGGCTGACTGCAGCCCCCAGTGAAGTATGTGATGACACTAGCCAAGGGAGCCAGCACTGGGACTTCGGTTGGAACTATAAGGGAAGAGTGACTCTCCTATTGGCTGCTAAGTTGAGAGGCGGTATGCTTGGAGGTTTTGAGGGACACTGTGGCCACCACCAAATAAGAATGAAGTCAAATCAGAGGAAGGAACTGAGAGAGCTCTCGTTTGAGTCCCTGGATCCAGCAGTGCTTGCAATCCTGAACTTTTTAGTTACCCACAAAAATAAATTCGCATGTCTGGTTAAATCAGTGAGGTTTGAGCTTCAGTCACTTGCTCCCTGTGTGTCCTCAGGCCAGTGACTTCACCTTTAGAGACTCAGTTCCCCATTCTGTTAAGTGGGGACACATCATTAGGTGGCTGTGAGAATTAAAGGAGAGGGGAATCAAACGTGCACATCCAGGAGCCTAGCACAGGGCTCCTGCCTAAGTTCTTGAGTCTCATTCCGCTCCACCTCTTGTCCCAACACTTTCAGCACCGGGGAGGGGATGAGCTTACACCTGAGGCTGGGTACCGGACTCCAGGACTGAGCCCTGCAAATTCGGCGAGGTGTCATCAAGACCCGGGGAAGAGGGGTTTCATAGTCCTGCGCCAGTGACAGCCCAGCCTGGGAGCCCACTGTGTAGATGTTTGCACAGAGCACCTGTATGGATGCAAGTCAGGGGTTATAAAAGGTGCTGTTGGCACCTCTCTCACATCACCTGCATCCTTTCTGTAAATACCTCTAGCTTCCTGCGGCAAGCACCTGAGCTTTGCCTGAGGGGACTTTACAGACAGGAGAGGCTGGAAGCTCTGGGGAGCTGACAACTCCAGGAACCAGTGAGAGGTGGGAGCTGGTACATAATGCCAACTTCTTTGACCTTTGGGTAGAACAACTTTGAGTGTGTTCAACACAGTCTTCTCCCTGCTAGTGGGATGGCACCCCAGGTGCCCAGAGCAGCAACCAGCTCATCAACTCCCTTCCCCAGCTTACTTCCCCACTCTCCTATCAATCTGCATAGGATCACCTCCTAAGTAAATCATTTGTGCTTGAATGTTTGTCTCAGGGTGTGATGGGCTGTCATTTCTGTGTTCCATGCTCAAGGCAAAGGGATCTGTGGAGGGAGCTCTCCAGGTAGATCAGGGCTGTATCTTAGATTGTGAGTACGCCAGCGCCCAATATCCTCACATCCTGCTATAGACTCAATGTTTGTGTCCTCTCAAAATTCTTCTGTTGAAATCCTAATCCCCTGTATGATGGTATGAGAAGGTGGGATCTTTGGGAGTTGATTAGCTCATGAGGGTGGAGCCCTCATGGAAATGATTAGTAGTACCCTTTATCTCTTTTGAGACTCCAGAAAGTTCCCTGCCCCTTTTTCCACGTGAGAACACAGTAAGAAGATGGCTATTCATAAACCAGGAAGTAGCCCCACACCAGACACTGAATCTGCCAGCACCTTGATCTCGGACTTTTCAGGCAGCAGAGCTGTGAAAAATCCATTTCTATTGTTTATAAGCCGCCCAGTCTATGTTACTTTGTGATAGCAGCCCAAGACACAGCCTTGACAGTGACCATTTATTACATATGTCTGGGCTGTCAGATTGGGGGGGGACCATTGACATAGCTGAGAACCAGGTAAGGTGTCCTGGCCAGTCGGATGGGAGAGCAGCAGGAGCCCCCTGACTGGGGCAGGAGCAATGTGGCACCCACCAGGAGAAGGAAGAGGAGGAGGAGGAGGAGGACACTCAGGGGCCGTCTGGATGCAGGAGCCGGGACTCTGTGAAGGGAAATGCAGAGTTAAATATACCGTGGGCTACAGCCATGAGCCCTGTCCCCTACACCCCCAGACCCATCTCCCAGGCATCTCACCCAGAATCTACCTCCAGCATCACATCCTGGAGATTGGAAGATGCTTGCCTCTTCTTGTCCTAAGGATAGATAGCAGCCAGCAGAATGGGTGAAAGTAACACTTAGTGTGGACTTTCCATTACTAGTCTAGACTTATAGGGCTGGGCTTATGTCTCCTCCTTTTTTGGCACCCTCTTGATCCCCAGGAGCCTTCATGGGCTTGGAATATCTCCAAGTGTAGTGGATGTCTATCTGTGCCTTCCAGCCAATCCTCCTTTTCCAGGTAACAGTAGCTCAATTTGGCAGCAGGGGTGTCACACCTCCCTGCTCTAACCTCACACCTCCACTTCCATGATTGGGCATGTGACCCTGATCTGGCCAAATCAGAACCGTCCATTGGGCTTGACCACTGTTATTGATAGAGGCCATGACCCAAGCGGGGCAAGTGGAGTCAGCCCTGGGACTTTGCTGCTAGTAGGTCAGAGACACTGTCTTTCTCCTAGGGTGGGTAAACCAGTGGAAAGTGGGTGTGTAGCTTCTGGGGCAGCAATTTTGCTGAGAAGGAATCCACCTTGGGGAAGTAGAGTTGAGAGAGGGGAGGACCCAGTCCGAGATTCCCAAGTGATACACCTGGCTAAGGACCAGCTCACCTGAGACTTCCGGAGCAGGGAGCGTCTTCGGTGACCTGCTAAGTGTTTCTGGTGGCTGAAACCTGACATAAGTATGTCCTGTAGGGGGAGAGAGGTGTGGGGTCCTGGGAGGATCAGTGACAAAGAGACACAAGGTTGGGGAAGGGCCACGATGGAGGGTGTCATAGAGATGAGATTCTGGGGGAAGAGAAAGATCTTGGGAACAGACAAAGAGAAGGGCAGGGCCAAAGGAACCAAAAGAGGAGAGACATTATTCATTCATTCATTCAACAAATATTTAATGAGTGTCTATTACACGCCAGGCACTGTTCCAGGAGCTGAGGACATAGTGGCAATGGAAACAGGCTAAGTCTTGGCATCCATGGAGCTTTTATTCTAGCAGGAGAGAGAGACGCCATACATTAATAAATAAATGTATAATGTCAAGATGTGGTAGGAGCTGTTAGGAAACAAAGAGGATAAGGAGTGATAATGTTTGGAGGCCAGAGCAGGCCTCTGTGAAGAGCTGACATTTGAGGAGAGACTGGAATGAAGTGAGGAGGCAAGCCGCGCATGCATCTGGAGCCTTGGACATGGGCGTGAATTTGGAACGTCTGAGGCACAGCCAGGAGGCTAGTGTGGCTGTAGTGGGGTAAGCAAGGGGGAGAGTAAGGGTAAATGAGGAAATGTAGACATAGACGGATGAGAGAGAAATAGAAAGAGTGAGATAGAGGAATAGACAGAAGCCAAAAGAGATACAAGGAGGGAGGAAAACCCTGAGACACCAAGAGAGAAAGAGACACTGAGAGAGACAGAGGGGGAGACAGAGCCACCAAACCTCCATGAAAGGAAAGGACCTTGCTAGGAGGTACACAGAGATGTCCTATGGGTGCCTGGGTGGAGATGTCCCCCACCTGCTCTCACCTCAAGTCCTTGTCCCCTGCTCTGGGGGCCCCTGTGGCCACACAGCTCACAGGGAGCCCCTGGTGTCCAGGCTGTCTTTTGCCCCAGTGGCTCGAGGCCCCCAACATCCCCTGCTGGGTCCCACTCCAATTCTGCAGGAGTGGGGAGACTACTGGGTGCCCAGTGTCCCCAAACCCCAGCAGATGCTGGCCAGTCCGAGTCCCCCTCCACCTCCAAATCTTGGTCCAGTGTGTTGGCCTCCTCAAACACCTGGTCAGAAGACAGAGGTCAGAGGTCATGGGGGTTGTGAAATTGGCACCAGGGCCGGGGACAGCCAGGATGGGCCATACCAGGCTGTAGCTGACCAACTGGGCCTGCAGCCGCCACAGCCGCCGGAAGATGCTGTCTCGGTGGGCTCTGAGGGCCCTCAGGACCTGCTGCAGGGATGCCCGGGCCGGAGGCTCACTCCGCTGTGCCAGCCCCTCACCAAACGTCAGCAGCGCATCCACTCTCTCAGCTGCCCCACGTAGATCTGCCTGTAGGGTCTGGGGACACATGATTGGACACCACTAACCACCACCACCCCGCCCCGCCGCACACACCAGGGGCACCAGAGACCTGGCACCTGGAGTTACATGCCCCGCTTTCCTACCCAGACACCTCGATGGAATAAACCCACTTCCCACCCCGGGAAACAGGCACCCACTCCTGAGGCTCTGCCCACCCTCCCACAACTTGGCCTCTCATTGCCTACCTGCAGCTGGACCATCCCGCTCTGAGCTAATGTCCAAGGTCCCGGACCTCGCTCTAGGTCCTGCAGCTGGAGACGCAGGCCCAATAGGCAAAGGTGCAGGCTGTCCTGCTCAGCCTCCAATACCTCCCAGCCTGAGATGAGGCTCTGGGGAACACAGGGGCTGAGTCAGTGCCGGTGCGCCAACCAAGACCTTGCCCCCACTCCCACTGCCACCCCTCTTTTGAAGAACCCTGCCGCTGGATGCTTCTCTGTAGCAGAGTCCATCTCTGGGTCTGCACCAGGGTTGCTCCCACCTGGAGTCCTTCCCAGTGGAGCAAGGCCTGGGGACCTTTAGTTCAAAGTCTCCAGGTTTTCAAGACTCTTGGAAACTTGGACATACAAGGTCTGGGGGTTTGGCTGGGGGAGGGGTGATGGAACTGGATATCCCCCACAAAGAATGGGGCTACACCAGGGACAATGATGAAATAATTCAGTTTGAAATAACTTCTATAATGATTGGTAGAGAATATTTTTTAGAATGTCCCTCCCTCCACAGGTGCCCAACACCTTTCCAGAATCATCACGTCATCCCCAGTGTGAAGGCCAGATTCTGGGGGACAGAGAGGAAGTGGGGGCTGGCACAAGGGGCCTGAGTCACCTCAGCTCACCTCACGGTGTTTGCCCACAGCCGGCTCCTCATGGGAAGAGGGCGTTGGCAATCTGGGGTGACCAGCAGTAGGCTCAGTGTTCCTCAGCCCATCCTGGAAGTGCTCGGGAGGGTCCAAGGAGTCCTGCCCCAGTTTCTGGGCGTGTTCTGGCCTGGAAGGTAGAGGACATTGACAGGCCCTTGGGTGAGCCTAGATGCCCATCATCCACCCAACCCTACCCCTGCGCCCAGCTCCCTCTCCTCAGGTGATCACAGCCATAGTACCCCTTACCCTTAAAGCACCCTGCTACTGCCCCCATCCTGTTAGGACCTAAGTTTCAAAAGCCCCAGCCCCCTACCTGATTATTTCCTCTCCAGAAGCCGGGCAGATGGTACATCCAGCAATGTCCACTTCCCTCGGGGCTCCAGGGGGGTGGTTGAGGGGCTCTGAGGGGGGTCTAGGGTCCAGAGGTGGGGGCAGAGCCATAGCTGGGGCTTGGGGGTAGTCTGAAGAGCCCTTCTCCTGGCCAGTGGTGTCCCTCCACACCTCCACAGGTCTCACCCAGGCCTGAGGCAGCTGGAGGCCCCAGGGGCAGGCTCAGCTCCACCTCCTTCTGAGGGATAGAAACCTGGACCCAGGTAATTCGATGCCTGCTCAGATGACAGTGGCACCACTTAACTCCTTCCTCCCTAGTGGACCAGTAGTTTAACTTCCCCAGCTAACTGCACCCCACCCAAGGGGGTTCCAGATATGACCCTGTCCTCTCAAGAGTCCTGGATTCTGCCAGGCTCGGTGATCCGTATATCTGACTCCCAGGGCCCACACTATCTAAGGTCCCAGACACAGCGCCCCTCAGGAACAGGGCATCTAGCCTCCCATCCCCAAAAATCCAAAGCCAAAGGAAGATTTCTGTTGGTTTATTTGAAATGGGGCCTTTTCCTGAGGTTCCCAAAGTTATTGGGAAAACAACCAGGGGGAGAGGCCTCTGCCCCAGGGTTTCGAGGTTGCAGCATCACAGCTGTCCGGAGCAGGCGAGAGCCCGGGAAGCCCAGCGGGTCCTGGGGCAGCAGTCACTTGCTGAGCAGGAGGCCGGCGCGCAGCACGCGGGGCACCCGGCGGATGGTCAGCGAGACGCGGGTGCCACGGACCAGGCGGGCACCCGGCCGAGCGGACGGGCAGGCGGCGGCGTTGGGTGGCAGGCAGGCGGTGTCGAGCGGGTCTACGTGGGCGGCTGCGATGCCATGGAGGAGGCGCGTGTAGGCGGTGCCACGGAGCACCAGCAGGCTGCGCGGTTCCAGCAGCAGCGAGGTGGCCGGCCGGGGTGGGGGCCTGGGCTGCAGGGCAGGTTGACGGTCAGTGGGTCTCCGGAAGTCGGGGTTGGGATGGGCAAGAATTTAGCAGACTTTGGGAGTCCAGGGGGCGAGGGTCAGCGAGGCCCCAAGAGGCAAAGGCTGAGAGGCAAGCGTGCTCCCAGGGACCTAAGCTTTGGGGTGAAAATCCACGGGTCCCAGGGCCAGGGCTACGAGGAAAGGGAAGGGTGTGGGTGTGGGTGTTAGCAGTCCCTCAGGCGAAGCAAGAACTAGGCTGCAGATGGGGGGCAGCTAAGGAAACTGCCCCTGGAATCTCCAAGGGGCCAGGGCTGGGACCCAGGGATCAGCAGTCGCAGGGAACTGGGTAGAACTGGGCTGAGGGCTTGACAAACGCCAGAAGGTAGGGGGGAGAGGGGCACAGAGTGAGGCAGAGGTGATCCAGTGCAGTCTGGGAGTTATCTGCGGCCATCAGAATGTTTGAGGACACCCACAGAGTAGGCGGGGTGGGGGGGACAGAGGGCATGGGGGGTCGGTATCCAGGATCATGTAGAGCTGAAAAGGGAAGTCCTAAGGAGCAGTTGGGGTCAGGGTGTGTGTGTGTGTGTGTGTGTGTCTGCGGGTGGGGGATGGGGTGGGGTCTGTGAGCATTGGGGTGCCAGAAATGCATCATCAGAGAGTTCAGAGAAGCTGCAACCCTCACAGAGGACGGACAGTCACACTATCTGGGGGGTGGAGGGGTGGGCCTTGAGCAGCCAGTCATAGATTGAGGTACCAAGCAGAATCTGGGGATGCCCTACATGGTAGATCACATTATTGAAGTGACAGGGAAGTCAGTGTTGGGGCACCCTGTGCAGTAGGCAGGGTGTCAGGATATCTGGGAGGGCATCAGGGACACCCACAAGTGAATGGTGTTGGGGTATCTGGGGATATTGGTGTCTGCTGGAGTATTGGGGAGCCATGCATGGGTTGTGTGGACCTCGGGCTACTGGAGCACTCTGAATGTGTGGGGCCAGGGGATCTCTAGGGTGCTGGGGCATTCCAATCAGTAGGTGGGGGGGTATTGGGGTGTCTGTGGATGTCAAGATTTCTAGGGCACCCTGCAAGCAGATGGGCTGGGTATCCGGGAGGACGTGGGTGCACAGCGGAAGGTGTCTGGGAGGGTATCAGTGTACCCTGCAGGCAGGTGAGATTAGGGCCTCTTGGAGGATGTGGGATGTCAGAGTGCCCACGAGTGGCTTGGGCAGTGTCCGCGGGCCCACCTGCTCTGTAGGGTCATCATCCTTTGGCTGCCGTGGCTCGTAGAGGTCCAGCATGGTGTGGGAGCCCAGGCTGATGGTGCTGACAGTCGGGTAGTACAGTGGCCCGTCCTCGTGGGGCTGGGGAGTGGGCATCAAGGCTGGAAAGGGCAGGAGTCCACACCCCCCAACCTCTGGGGTACAGGGGGGCTCCCCAGCTGGGGACGGGGGGGGGTTATGCTTGGCTGGGGTATGTGGCTGCTTAATGAGAGTAGAGGTGGGTCAACATGATGCCCTGTGGATCAGAGAGGTCTGGGGGTTGAGGTTAGGATGTGTGGTTACCATGATGCCCTCCCCAGGCAGATACTGGTTCACAAGGACGTGGTTGGCTGGGAGACCCCCAAAAAGACTGAGGTCAGACACTTTGTCCACGTAGCGCTGGAGCCACAGGGGCAGCCGCTCAGGAACCATCCCCCGGGGATGGGGGAGCCCACCTGGAGGAGGGCAATGGGGTCCTGAGGGTACCCAACCAAAGAGCCCTGGCACCTGAAGCCCCCATTAGGGATATTCCAGGGATTGGTAGCACGTTGACCTCCTCAGAGACCCCTGACTCTTTGGAGATTATCACCCAACCCTTCAAGGGTTTCCTTATGCCTCCAAACCCCTGGACCCTTTGAGACCCCCAACTTGTAGTAAAATTCCCTAACCCCTCAGAAACTCCACTAACCGCTCAGAATCCTTCTGGCCCTTGGGAACCCTTGAACCCTCAAGGGCCCCCAATATCTTGAGACAAACCAACCTGAACCACCTGCCCTGGCCCACATCCCCAAATCATTCATGCCCCCAGGCAGGAATACTTACCCCAGTTCTGTAACTTCCTCCCGGAGAGCTGAGTCCACTTTGGCTTTGGGGCATTGAAGACCTGGGAGGTAGGGAAGGGATCATTCCTTTTTCAGGACCACCCTCTCTGCTTCTCCCACCCAGGCCAACATTGGGGTCTTTACCTGGGTGGAAATGGGTCATCTCAGTGTCTGTGGGACCTTTCTCTGGGATAGAGAGTTCCCAGGATTTTGCTGTTTGCCCTTCCCCCTGTGGAGGGTGCTGGCCCCAAAGCCCACCTGCGTTTACTGGGATCAAGGAAAAGAACCATGACTACACAACTGTGGTCTGAATCTACTCAGAGGCCTGGCCTAGACTGGGCTCTTTTAGCTCAGCAAATAGTCTGCACCATGTAATTTCCTGACTCCTGGGCTATCTCAGTACAATCTAACTTCTGGAACCTCCTTGTTCCTATCACCTGGGGGAGGGAATGTGCTAAACTGGGCTATCTCAGCAGAGCAAAGAGAGTACTCCGAAAATTCTCCACTGCTAAGATCCCAAGGATCTAGAATGGGCACTCTCCAAGAAGTCTACACTCTACTCAATAATCTCCTCATTCCCTCTATGGTTATGGGGCTGGAATAGGCTATGTCAGCACAAGAGTCTGTTTTCTGTGGCTAACTTATTCCTGGGGTTCAAAACTAGACAGGACTAGTTGGGATAGCACAGGGAAGATCTGTGCTCTGTAACTCTGGGGCTTCAAAGGGTTATCCCAGTGCAAGGACTCTTGAGTTTTGTAAATTCTTCTTTTCCCAAACCTTAAAAGTAGAATATAGACTGAGTTATCTCAGCATAGGTGGTCTGTGCTTGGAAACCTTGTTCCCAAGACTCTGGGTCTATGCTGAGCTATCTCAGCAGAAGGAAGTTCACTCCGTGACATCCTGAGGTCTGGGCTACCTCAGCACAGAAATCTGAACACTGCAAATTCTTCATTCCCTAAATATTAAGGGCCTGAACTGGGCTATCTCAGCACAGAGAGTATGGGTTCTGTAACTCTGTTTCTGAGGCTCTGGGCTTGCACCATACTGTTCCAGCACAAGGAATCTGATCTCAATAGCATCCTTGTTTTGGAATCTGGACCAGCCTATCTCAGCACAGGGAGTCTGAGCTCCATAAGAATCACCTCCTTTCTAAGAATCACATTGGTTTCTCCTAAGCCTCCTGGGAAAAGCTCTTACAGGCCCAGCAGGTCAGAGTGGAATAGGGAAGGTGAGGGATGGGTGCTGTGTAGCACTCTCCTTCCTGCCAAGATCTTCACTGTAGCCTTGGAGGCTCTCACAGAGGACCTAAGGATTAGGATCTGGGAATAAGGGGAAAAACAGACCAGAAGGACATGAGGTCACCTGTCGAAGCAAATACTCCTCCTCTTCTTTGGAGATGAAGTCAGGGACATAGTAGATTACAGGTGGTGCCTAGGATAGAGAGATCCCCCTGAAGATGGGTCCCTTCAAGCTACACAGGTGCCCTAGCATCGTTGAGCAGTCCCTCCCTCTGGAGTGAGGCTCAGGATGTCCCTAGACAGGCCCAGACCTGAAGTCAAGGGACCAATGCCCATTTTGAGGGTGGGTGTGAGGGAAGGGCTGGGCCCTGAGAGTAAGAATGAACTTGGAGGGAACAGTACCAGCTCACAAACCCAGGAGTCAGCCTGCCTATCCCCACTCTATCTCCCGCCCTCTAGTCCCCACCTTCACCCTCTGTAACCCCAGTCCTGACAACCTGCTCCACCCTGAATGTTTCCAGGGCTGGGACCCTGGAGTCCTGATCCTCCATCGACACCAACTCCATGCACCCAGTCCTGTGGGAAGGGGAGGACATGCTGAAGTCACCAAGCCTTCCACTCTCAGGCTACGATCCTGCTTTCTGTTCTGCCATGGGCCAGGACCTCGCCTCAGCCCTTTAATCAAACTAACTTGGTTTCTAAAACCTGAGTCCTCAGCATCTGAAAAGCCACCCAATGAGTCCCCAGACTCCCTGCCTAGACACAATGAGCACCCCAAACACTCACCCAAACTCCATCCACCAAAGGCTTATCAAACTACACATATTTGTTCTCAGGCCTTTCGCAGAGAACATCCTGTGACCCCACTGGGAGCCGTTCTCAAGAGCTCCACACGGTCTCCAGAGTTGTACCCGAGCCCCCTTAAACACCTTAATTTGAGATCCCATCCTAACAACTTTAGACTTGCAACCATGAGCCCCATTCCCTAACAATATACAGAGTCCCCATGGATCCTCCTCCGGCCGCAAGCCCTTTCAGATGCCCCGTTCTGAACACGCCTCTGCCCCGGCTCTGTCTCTTTGGATCTTCCCACTCTGGACCCCCTCAGAGTTCCCTTCCCAAACTCCCCTTCACTGCAGCACCCTTGGACCTATAGCCCTGAGCCTGGCTCCTCTCAAACCTTCTTTCTTTCCTGAACTCCTTAATACCCCACACTCTTGAGTCTTCTAGGGCTTCACACTCTGAGCCTCCTCGGATTCCTATCTGAGCTTCCCCGGATCCCCACCCAAGCTTCCTTGGACCTTTATTTCCGCCCTCTGCCAACCACAAAAACTGACCGTCCACCAGCGTCCCCTCCAACATCCAAATCCAACATCCCCATGCCTTTCCCAGCCACTTCCGCCCCCACGTTCCTGACGTAGCAGTACTCAGACCAATGGGAACTCTCAAAGGCCTTCAAGGTCCGCCTTCCACCCAATCAGCCCTGTCACTCAGTGTTACCCCGCCCCTTCTCCCTCGTTCAGTGATAGGCTGTACCTCTGGTCCCTTCGAAGACGGTTTCTGCTGGCACCGGCCAATCAGAGCTCCAGAACGGAACCTGTCCGTACTGCGAAGTTGGCCCAGATAGGAGGGGCAGCGGTGGCGACCGCAGGAAGGAGGCCACTGTTAGGACTTCCCGCAGACTAGACCGTCCTATGCTCAAGCAGCAGGGAAACGAGATTGAACATTTCCTCTCCCATCCTCCCCCAGCAAGGGTTAGGGAGGCAGGGCCGTAACTCCCCAAACACTGGCCTGACACAGAGAAGCCATAGAAACGTCTTTATTGAAGGGAGCAAGGGTCATGCTGAGTTCAGGGACATGCAGTGAGGGGGCAGTCGTGAGCTGTCCTTGGTAGTCAGGGCCCCAGGTCCGCCCTGGACTCCTGGGAACTTCAGGGTCTCCCTCGGACTGTTGGTCTGGCTTGGGTGAGGTCCTTTGGGGCCTGTGACTCAGATTTGGTGTTTTGGACCTGTGACCAGAACATAGATTGAAATGGGGGCTCCAGGACTTGGGATTCCCCTCAAGGCCTTGGGGGGGGGTTCTTCATGTATTAGAAATGGAGGTTTTAGGATTTGGGGTTCCCTTGGGGCTGGGGCTCTTGGAATTTGGGTGTCTTGAGATCAATGACTCAGGGCATTGAGGTCCTCCAGTTTTCAGGGATGAGCATTACTGTTTGGGGTCTACTGGTGCCTATGAATAGGGCTTGAGGTGCTGTGGGAGCCCGGGATGCATGTCCTGACCGCAGTCTCCTCCATCCCAGGCACAAGGACCGCCAGGACGGGTTTCCTGGGGACTGGGGATTGGATTTTTAAATTTGGGATTCCCTGGGGATTTGGGGATTCCATGGTTTTGGGGGTCCTGGGAATCAGGGCCTTGGGGTCTTCTAGGGGGGCTGTAGGACTTGGGGGCACAGGGGAGCTTGGGACGTGTACCCTGGGATTTGGGATTCCCCAGTCTCAGAATGGGGGCTCCAAATTTTGGGGTCCCCCAAAGGGGGAAGTCATTACTTAAAAAATAGACAATTTTCTGGGAACCTGGCCAGCACAGGGGCTGTGGGCCGTGTGGGGTGGGCTTCATACAAGGCACTGGGGGTTTGTTGAGGGTGCAGAGGGTAAGAAGTCTTGGGGGTCCTGTAATTAGCACTTCCAGGACTGTTTTGGTGTCTGTAAATTGGAGGTGACAGTGGGCTGGTTAATGCAAGTCTTTTCTTGGAGGCTTAGAACAGGGGTCTTTGTTAATGGAGGGGGGTCTCTGATTGTAGTATAAGGGTTTTGGGGTGACCATTGGGGATCACATCTTGAGGGGACTGATGTTAAATGTGGGATCGTGACATAAAGGTCTGTAATTGTTGCTCTGGAGGTGTGATCTGTTTATTTCAAGGGGACTTGATGGGAGAGTTCTTATCCAGTGATGAGTGACTCAGGAATGTTCTGCTATGTAGCATTATGTGGCGGTCACCTTCATTTGGGGTGATGTGGAAATCTGTTAATGGGGGCTCTGCTCCGAGGGGTTGAGGATAGGGACTAGCCTGAAGGTGCTACACTCAGGGAATCTTTCTGGGTAACATGGGGTCTGTATTTGGGGGGTTTTCATGGGGGAATCTGTTAATAATGGGGCCTCAGTGATCGAGGACTGGCTAATGGGAAGGTCTATTCTGGATGTGTTACTGGGAATATCTATCTCAGGGTGACTTGGGGGCTCCTTGTGTTAGGAGATGCTAGAGGGGGCTGTGACTCTGTCGGGTGTCCATGGCCTCTAAGACTGCATCTCCGCCCTCAGCATCCAGGGAAACCAGCAGCAGAAGAGCAATCTGGAAAGGAGAACTGTGTCACCCCCTGATGCAGAGGCAGGAACATCTGGATCTATCTCCCTCAGCTCTTTCCCAAGTGTTTGGGATTTGGCCTTGCTGGATTCTGCCTCTATCTCTCTGGCTGTGCCTTCTCAGGCTCCTGTGGAGGGTATTCTGCTTCCTCAACCTGTCCCTTAAAGGTTGAAGTCTCCAGAACTCAATGTGGGGCCTCAGTCTCTCAAGGCTATTTCTGGGTAAGCTGACTAGTCACACGTTTTCCTAACCTCTATTTTCAGCCCCAACCAGAGCTCTATACCCCTGTGACCAATGGCCTGTGGAAGCCTCTTCCTAAATATCCCACAGAAGAGAGGGCCAGGGGTTGGCTACAAACCTGGAGATTGAGTTCTCTGATGCGATGTCCTTTGGGGTCCGGACTGTCGTGAAGGTGCGTTTGGGCTGCGTCACTGAAGTGGAGGGCAGGGTCTCAGGTGAGGGAATGATAGACCTAGCTGTGCCCTCAATACCCACCCAAGCTTATGAACCCCACATTCTCAATACCCATCTGGACCTCTTTTGTCAATAATATTCTGTGTCCCCCAATACCTACCCATGTGCTTGCTCTGTGCCTGCCCAGAGCCTTGTCATTAGCATCCCCATATTCCAAAGCACCTATCCTCTTTGCGATCCTGTTTCATCAGTTTCCTGTGTCCCCAGTTAAATACTAGTGATCGTGTCACTAGCATATAGCATGACCCTTCCTCCTACCCCCAAACCCCCACTGCTCCCCACACTGTAGCCCTCAACTCACTTGTCACTTGATGTACTTTTTTGGCTCCAACATTATCCCCAGGGGGGTCAGTGGATCCACCAATCCTGGGGAGACATGAGTGGGAGGAGTCAGAGCCAGAGGCCAGGGTCTGACATGGAGCTGGGGGCCAGGGACCCACATGGAAAGAGCCCAGGTGTGGGAGTGGGTATCCACACTGTCCTGCTGGTCCAAGAGGAGGAGACATCTGAGGGGGATCAGGGTTCTGGGTGATACCTTGGGATAAAGTCGGATTTGGGGCTCACCTCTGAATTCGGGATGCTGGTGCAAAGACTCCATGCTTTGGGGGGCAGGTGAAGTAGCGGACACCGAAGACAGAGCCATCGTGCTTGCCTGTGGGCTGGTCTAGCTCAATGCCATACCAGTAACCTGCAGCAGAAGAGTGTGAGGAAAGCTCTAGGCCCTGCCTGCCCCACAGCCCAGATTCCCATCCTCACCTGGAGCAAAGTCTGTCTTCCCATAGAAGCGCACAACCCCTTGCTTCTGGCCTGCTACAAGGACTTGGTCTCCAACCTCAGCCTTGGCTCCCTCACGCTGCTGCAGGCTGCCCAGAGACGGGGATGATGGGGGCTTCTTCTTGCCTGGGGGTGGAAGGTACAAGGGTGGGGGTGGGGCTCCCAGACACCAGCCTTGGGGACCCCATGCTACCAGAAAGCCCCAAGGCAGAAACACTGTCCTGGCTCCAATCAGGGGAACTCCAGAGCCTTCCGCAGAACTGCAGGGCTTTGGGCTTGGAAGGAAACAATCCCAGCTGCCAAAGAACTGCAGGGGGAGGCTTTAGGCCCGAGGGAAAATTGAGTCAAGAACCGGGAGAACCCCAAAATCCTTTCTCAAAGCTGAGGATATTTGGGCCAAAGGAAAAACCGAGTGACAGAAGTCAGGAACCTAGAAATTGTCCTTTTAAAATGCAGGAGGGAGCTGGGTCTGAGGATAACATAGATTCTTCCCTAAAACTGGGGGGAAACTTTTGGGCCTGAGGGGAAACTACGTCATAGACAGCAGGGAACCCACAGGTCCTTCCAAGAACTGGGTGGGGCCAGTACTAAGTCAAAGGAGAAACTGAGTCACAAAAGTCAGGAACTCAGAGATCATCCTCTAAAATTAGGGAATTTACGCCTGTGGAGAAACTGAGTCACAAGCTGGGCTACCCACAGAAAATCCCCCAGACTGGCTCTCCTCACCCCTAGGACGCCCCCTCTTACCTCTGTGTTCCCTGCGGCCTTTGCCTGTGACACGGGAGAAGTCCATCCGGGGAGTCCGAGGTGTGGAGGTGACAGATGAAGGGGGTGCATCGACTGCCTTGGAGATCTTGGACACAGAGGCAAAGAGACCTGGGGGGACAGAGCCTGGGCTGGGAGTTGTCCAAATTTCTGCCCTATGCCTCTGCCCCACCATCATCCCCCGACCCTCATTACCCAATTGGAAACATCAGAACTACTGAGTGGACCCCACCACCACCCCTTTTGGACCCCGGTGGGACTGACCCTGTTTGGGAGGGCAGATGAAGTACCGGACACCCCCAACACTTCCATCATTCTTGCCCTCAGGTTCGTCCAGCTCCACGCCCACCCACTGGCCGCTGGCGAACTCTGTGGTCCCGCAGAACCGCAGTGTGCCTGTCTGAGAAAACAAGACAGGCTTGGAGGGACCTTGGGAGGCCAGGATAGATCACTCGCACACAGGCAGCATGGTGAGGTGAATGAGGGAGCCCCAGGCTCAAATCTCAGCTCAGACATCACCATTTACTAGCTGTATGGCTTAACCTCACCGTGCCTCAATGTCCTCATCTGTGAAACAGGAACAGAAACTGTGCCCACCTTATAGGACTGTTATAGAGCTACTCTGTCCAGTGCAGCTACTCTATCCACTAGCTAGATATGACAATTTAACTAAAATTAAATTAAAATTTCACTTCCCCAAACTAGCCACATTTCAAGTGTTTAATAGCCACATCTGGCTTGTGGCTACTTCATTGGACACCACAGTCATGGAACATTTTCGTCATCACAGAAAGGTCGATTGGATAGGGCTGTTCTGGAGAAATGGAAGCCCTCAGAACCAGGCCAGATGCTGAGTAGGGGATCAGTAAGTGCTGACTATTATTACTCTTCTAACTTTGGTCCAGGGAACCTCCTGGGCCTCAGTTTCATCTGGAAAATGAGGATAACAACCCACCTCATAGGCTGATTGTCTGTTTGAAACATTTTTTAAAAAAACATTTTTAACATATGTAAAGCTGCTTAACTGCCGTGAGGTGGTTATTACCATTGTTGGAGCCTCCTTCATCTCTCTAAGCCTCAGTTCCTTGTCTATAAAATGGGCTAATTCAGAGTGCCTACTTTGGAAGGTTGGTGGGGGGATCTGAGCAGTGCCTGGCACACAAAGAGCACTTAGGATGCACTGAGCCCTGTTTCCAAGGACCTTACACAATTTAACGAATTTAAAACACATACCACCCCGAGGTGGGTACTGTTGAAATACCCATCCATCGTACAGATGAAACTGATGCCCAGAGAGGCAGAATCATTGGCCCCAGGCCCCAGAGCTGACGAGATTTGCCTGAGCAAATCCCTGAGCCTGAGCTCATAACCCCTGTGTTATATTGCTTTTCTAAGGGGCAGGGATGGTTATTACATGTTTTCAGACAAAGGGTTTCACCTCTATGAGCCGCTTACAGCCTTCGGGATTGTAAAGTGAGGACAGTGAACCCTTCCTGCTTTCAGAATTGTCACATAGATTGGATTAAATCATGAACAGAAAGCTTTCCAGATGGGGCTGCTGCATGCACAAATCTTGATTAGGAAACAAAATGTGACGTTTATCGTTTCTCACTGTCTAGGAAACAAAATCCAGATTCCTTCCAGTGGCCTGCAGGTCTGGTGTGATCCAGATCCTGCTGACATCTCCATCTCACCCTCCAATCACGCTACTCCTTCCCTCCTCTGGGCCTCTGTACCTGCTGTTCCTCTGTCTCCTTATTTTTGCAGGGTGCGCTCCTTCCCACCCCAGCTCAGATATCACCTCCTCAGGGAAGCCCTCCTGGAACACCCCAGCTAAAACCACCTCTACTCTCAGCCAGGGAGAATTTACGAAACCCAAGCATGTAATGGTTTTCAAAGCCCTTGTTGCTACCAGAAATTATCTTAACTATGGGTTTACTTTATTGATTGTTTCTCCTTTATTAGAAATGAAGCTCCATGAGAACGGGGCTGGGGCTGACATGGCCCTTTATCCCCAAGAATGGGCTGGGTCCAGCATGGAGCCTGAGGGACACCAGTAAATGAATCAAAGTTGGAATGCCTGGATGAAGGTTCTCTATGCCCTCTGGGCGTTTTTACCTACTCTCCCTACCTGAGACTCTCTTCTTTTTCTTCTCCTGGTTCACTCCTCCTCATCTTCACGTAGATGCATCCCCTATCTCACCCCCAATCACTCCGATCTGTACTTTTTTTCCCAAAGTACTGACCACTCTGGGAGCAGAGGTGGGCCCTGACTGGGGACCACAAGGCCCAGGGGGACCCAGATGGAGCAGAGCTGCACTGATCACTCTTTGCTTGTGTTTCCCCATGAGAGCTACAACTGCTCTGGACTGTCACTGTCAATTGATGGATCTGTCTTCCCCGCTGGACTGAGACCTCAGCCCAGGGTCGGGCACACAAGAAGTACTCACAGAACTATTAGGTAAAACAAATACTGTGTGAATCATTGGGAGAGTGGGCAGAGTCTACACACTGCCCAAGCACCCAGCTCGGAGGGATGACGGCTGAGTTCTGCCCTCCCCTACCCCATCCAGTCCCTGACCTTCTGGCCATCCAGCAGCACACGGTCTCCCAGGCGCAGGCCCAGTGAGCTGAGCATGAGATTGCCTGGGACGTTGTCATAGTTGGGTAGTGTGACCTTGGGCAGGGAGCAGGAGAGTGGCACAGCTTCCTCCAGCAGCGTTCGTAGCTCCTTGGCCACCAGCGCCGCCTCTGCCTTGTCCAAGGACATGTCCATGGGGTCTGGGACCACCTCTGCTGGCACCTGTCCCTTTCGGTTCTGGGGGCCAAAGGGAAGAGAGAGGGTGAGGATTCAGCGGCACAGGCTGCTTCCGCACTGAGCCCATGCCCCAAGACCCTAGGTGAAGCAGAGGTAGGACTAGGTCACACTTTGGGCCAACTTGGGAATAAGAAGGGGTGGGGCATTAAGGTACAGACCATGTCCTCAGGGAAGTCCACCCCTGGATGTCAAGAAATTGGGGGTGGGATGAGAGGTGGAGTCAATAAGGAATGAAGGTCACACTTAAGGTGCTGTCGGTCTCCCCAGGCCAGGAATGGGGCCAGATGAACATTGAAAATGGGTACTGGTCAGGGGTCCAACTGAGCCAATGGGAAAGCAGAGACAGGGGCACAGGTATCACCCCAAGATATCTGTGCTTAGAATGCTTCAGAGTAATCGGTAAAGGGGACATGACCTGGAAATAGCTGGGTTGGGGTCAGAGATCATATTGAAGGCTTACATGGGGTCCAACCCTCTCCTTCACCAAGGGTCTCAATTAGACTTTCTTCATGATCTCGAAATACTGTCTACAGACAGACACAGAGTCAGCCAGGACTGAAAGATATTTCTTGCTGGGTGACCCAGGACAAATCACTCCCTGTCTCTGCCTCGGTTTCCCCATTGTAAAATAGTGCTCATATCATATAGTGCTCATATCGCCTGACATATCACGAACACTAAGTAAATGTCAGCTATTATTTGTTGAATGTATAGATGATTTTTATAATATTTTGAGAGCTTCCAGAGACACAAGTGATCAGGGCCCCCCTCATCTTTTGCAAAGGCCTGCTGGCCTGGAAAGAGATGTGGGGAGGAAGGAGAAGGAAGATAACAGAGCTGGGCCAGGGCAGCAGTACCCGAAGCGCAGGGTTGGCACCGTGCTCCAGCAAACATTTGGCCGCACCCAGGCACAGGTTGGAGGCAGCAATGTGCAGGGCTGAGCCATGGTTGAAGTCACTGCACGTGGAATTCACCACTAGGAGGTGGGCGAGAGGAGAGATCTGGGTGACAGCCCTTGGCACCCAGGCCATCCCCCTGCCTTCCGGCTTCCAGAAGTTCATCTCTTAACCCTCTCCAGGCCCCAGTGCCTCTGGCAGAGCCCCGCCCCCCTTCTCGGCCCCGCCCCTCCAGACCAGGACCAGCCCTGCCCTGTGGACCGCTGAGCCCCATCTCCCACACCTGCTGTCTCCGGCCTCCCAGTATCTCCTCAATCTGGTCCCCTCTCCCCACCCAGCCAGGCCTCAGTTTGGCCCCATCACTTGGCACCCATCTTCTTCACTCCATGTCCCCTGCCCCAAAACCCTGGGTACCCTCCTACTTCCAGGCCTTCTCTCTTGCTGGGTCCTGCCCCAAACCTCCAAGCCTGGACTTAACCCCTCACCTCGCGGCCGTGAGCTCTTCAGCAGCACACGGACGAGGTCCGGCACATCAAAATAGGCCGCGTAGTGCAGTGCGTTCATGTTGGTCCAGCGGCTGCGCAGGGTCACGTCTGCGCCTAGCACCAGCAGCTGCTGCGAGAGGCGCACGGCCGCCGCGGGGTCCCCTGCGTGACAGCCCAGGTAGGCTTGCGTGCTCTCCCTGAGAGTGTGGTCCCAGGGCATGGGGAAGGCCTTGGGCGTCGGGGACTGCACTTGGGGGTATTAGGCTGCGGGGTTCAGGGTAGGGACCTGAGGACAGGGGTTCTGGGTGGTTTTGAGGGGTTGCGTCTGGGGGCGTAGGTTTTGGGGCTTGGGGGTTTGAACCCTCACCAACTCCGTGGGCCCCAGCCTTGCACGCATAATGGAGCAGTGTCATGTCAGTCAGTCCATCACGATCGTTTACATGGCAGCCTCGACGCAGAATCTGGGAGTGTACCAGAGGTCCATGGAGGCTCACCCAAACATGTGAGGGACCCCATGTTCTCCCTCCCTGGCTTCCCCAGTGTTTTTACCTCATTGCCAATGACGTCAATCTTGTGTTGAACTTGGGGGACCCACTGGCGCACAATGGCGAACAGCTCAGGGATGGTGGTCTGCGGGTCAAACAGAATCTCCTGGCACGCCGGGTCATTGGGGTCGAAGAAAGTGAAGGCTGAGGTGGCAAGAGGTCCAAGGTCATCCCAGGCAAGCTGACCTCCTCCTCCCATCCTGAGGCAGGGGAACTCGAGGTCTTTGCCTTTAAGACCCTCTCTAATGTAGGGTCTCAAACTGGCGGCACGTAGACCACAGGCATATTCCATGTGGCCAGCATGAGGTTTCAAAGTCAGGAGGTTTCACATAAAAATCTGGATGCCCAGTATGTCTTAAAAAATCGGAAAATCGGGCAATTCCCATAAAGAGCAAACACCACCCCTTGAAACAAGAGTGCAGCAACCTCGAGTCTGTGTGCCCAAGGACTTGGCTGCTACGGCTCTAACCCACTGTTGCTCTGGCACAGTATGGGCACAGTTTGGCCAAATCACAGTAAAAAAAAATAATAATAAAAACCAGAAATCCTGGTTTTTAAGAAAAATCTCCCCACTTTTTCAAATGCTGGGCAGTCCACATACAATAAAATATATGCATGGTTAGGATCCAACCTGTGGCCACCCAGGGTGGTGCCCAGGGGGACTTCCGTTCTCCCCCCATTAGACTCTGATGAGTATTGCTCTCTGTAGTAACATCAGTACCCAGCACAGAGCCTGGCACATAGCAGGAACTCAGTGCATGGTGGATGAACGACACAGAGCCCACGGAAGTACCGCATAGAAGGTGTCTCCAGGAATCAGCAGCCTGTGTCCTTCTTTAAAAACCCATCATAAAACAGCCCACCTTGGCTCAGAACCCTGCCCTGGCTCCCAGCACATTCCGAATATAGACCACAGTCCTCCCCACCTCCCACGGGCCCTGCACTAACCGGCTTTGTCTGCTATCTGCCCTCACCTCCTCACTCATTCCCCTCCAGCCACACTGGCTTCCTCTGTCTTTCCTGTCTCAGGGGCTTTGCACTTAATGGTTTTATCTCCGGGGATAGTCTTCCCTCAGATTTTCCCAAGGTTCTACAGGTCTTTGTTCAAATGTCACCTCTTCAGAAAGGCCTCTTTACCACCCTGTCTAAATCAGCACCTCTGCCCTTCTCCATCTCCTAAGCTTTTTTGTTTCTTTAATCACAGCACATATCGCTACTTAATATAACTTGTTTATACCTCCATCCCTCTGTTTCTCCCTCCCTCTTTTCCTCTCTTTCTCTTCTTCCTTTTTTTTTTTCTTCCTCTTACTTTCTCACGTGTCTCCCTCACTAGGACATAAACACTATGTTCCCATTCTGCTTTGGTCCCTCCTTTATTCCCAAGGCCCAGCACAAAACCTGGCATACAGTAGGTGTTCAATCTCTGCTGAATTGATGTACAAATTTAATAAACAAATACATGAGTTCCTCTTGGAGTCCACTTTAGCCCTCTCTCTGCGCTGGACCACATTTCCAGATTCCTTTACCTTCTGTGACCAACCCTGCTTGTTTTATAAGCAGTATTCCTGGGGTGGGGTGGGGTAGGGTGGGGGGCAGCCTAGACCCTCTGACTTCCCACCAGCCCAAAGATGCCTGCCATATCCAGACGTATTCCAAAGGAGATTTTCCTATTTGCCAGGGTGTACCAGCTGCCTTGGACAGCCACATAACTTTCTTGTTTTTATATCAGACTGAGGTCAACTTGTTGCCTCTCTGATCTTCCTCTAGTGGGTGACATGTCCACAGATGCCAGATCTCCTGCCTTATCCTAGCAATGCCTAGTCTCTGAACCTGGTGCCTACTTTCTGAACCTCAAAGCCAATGCCTCCAACTCTGGCTGAGCCCCACTTTTTCTACCCTGTACAGTTTCAGGCAGAGAGAGCTTTTAAACATATAAATCAGAATCAACACTCCTCTGCTTTTAAACACTGCCTCAAATGCTCTCCCTCCATCACACTTAGAATATATCCAAAGTCCTCACTGTGCCTTTAAGGCCCTTCCAGGTCTAGCCGTTGTCAACCTCTAACCTCTGATCACTCCCTAACTGCAGCTCCAGGGGCTTTCAGTTCCAAGTTCAGTCCTGCCCCAGGGCTTCTGCAAGTGCTGCTCTCTGCCTGGAACACTTTCTCCAGCTCTCCTACAGCTGATTCCTCCTCAAGCTCTGGGTCTCAGCCTAAATGCCACCTTATCAGAAAGACCCACCCTGACTTCTCTGTCTCAAATTGCTGCCCTCTAGCCATTCTCTATTATATTTCCATCTTTTATTTCTTTCATAGCACTCACTCCAATCTGAACTTATCTGATTTATTTATCTGTTAATTATTCAGTCTCTTCTCTCCTGAGAGCAGGGATCACACCTGGATTGCTCACCATTAAATCTCTATCACCCAGCATAAAGCTTGTCACAGAGTAGTAGCAATGGGTAAGCAATGCTTAGTGAATGATTAGATGCTTTCAGTTTCTCCAAGAGGCCACCCTCTCAGTTCCACACCCTCCTACTCCAGAGCCTTGACTCCTGTGGTTATCGCCCCTGGGGCCCCTCTCCCAACCCTTCCCCTGGTTAACCCCCAACTCATCCTTAGGCCTTCCTCAAATGTTACCTTCTCTGAGAAACCACATCCTAAAAAGCTCCTGCAACATTCCTTTCTCGACAAGCACGATTCTCATTGTGTCTTGTAATTATATATTTATATGTTTTACTTATTTATGTGTGGTCATTATTGATGCCTGTGAGTTCTCGCAGGGCAAAGACTGGGCCTGTCTTGCTCCATGTTGTGCCCCCAGCTCCTAGCACGCAGCCAGGTGCACAGCAGGCTTTCAACAAATATTGGTTGAATGACTAAACGATTGAATGATGTATCATGAACCAAAGATCAGGATTATTCCAATTCCATTCTCCAATGGGTGAATGGATGAATTAATGAAGCGGGGAGAGGGGCAGAATCCAAGGACTTAGCAGCTAAGACTCCTTGTGACCACCTTCAAATTCCCCAGCCTCCCCCCATTGCCACCAGCAGAGCTCAGCCCAACCTCCCTGGCCATCCAAGGCTCCAGGCCAGATTCCAGGGTGGAGAGGTAAGAGGGTTACCGTAGTCCTTTGGGAGAGGGGCAGGTGCTGAGGGGTGCACAACAGGCTTCTGCCGGCGCTCCTGGGTGGGGCTGGGGACCTCGGGAACAGGCTCATCCTCTTCCTCCTCTTCTTCCTCCTCCCCCCTGGGCGGTGGGGCCATAGCGGCAGGATCTGTCTTAGTCATGGTCCTCGGTGGCCCCCGGGGGGGCGGATGCAGAGTTGGGGGCGGCCTTCAGGCGAATCCTGAAGGCAAAGGTCAGCTAGAGAGGGCACCCCACAGGCTCCGGGATCCCAGCCTACAGAAGCTCCCAGGGCCCCACATCCCCAGCTCTGGATTTGGAGCAGTCGTAAGGTCGCCGTTACCCACAAGAGTACCCTGGTATGTGGGTCCAGCGCCTATCGCTTTCCCCAGGCCCAGCCCCCCATTCTTCTCTCGTCAGTCCCCGGAGTCTAGGCCGCCCCCTCCCCGGGTTTGTTTATCTCAGGATACAGGATGCTTCGCCCCTCCCCTTCTCCGAGGGCCTCCCCTCTACCCATCTTACCTTGGGCGGACCGGGCTGGAAACCAAAGCTGATACCAGGGGTACTGGAATAATGGGGTGCTGGTGTCGGGGGAAGTGATGGGTGAGGATAAGGAGACAGAGAGAAGAGGACGAGGCCCAGACTCGATGAGGAATGGGGATGGAGAGGGAGGGGCGCTGACGGCGCATGCGCCGTGTTACCCCCAACCAGGCGCCGGGG